TTCAAGGGAGGCCTTTCTTTTGGGGGACTTTTTGAGTTCTTTTTGAGTACAGAAGGGCTGTAAGGATGTTTTGAGAACATTAGTCAGCTTTCTGTCACTGTAACAGCGCCTGAGATAATCAGCTTAGAAAGAAAAAAGGTCTATTTTGACTYATGGTTTCATATTTCCTATAGTCTGTGAGGTTCCATTGGATTGAGTACCAGGGAGGATGAAGGAGAGCAAGAAGAGCCTATGGGTGTAGTTGATTCTGAAGGATTTTACCATAAGAGGGAGTAGAGAAATGAGGTGAGTGAGATAGATAAGGAATGAAGGGGAACTTTTTTGTTGAAGAAGGGAAATATTACTGCACATTTACACATTAAAGGAAATGACGCAGTAGAGAGGAGCACAGTGGCCGTGCAGGAGGGGAAGGTGTCCTAGTCATCTTGGGATGCCATAGAATCTCAAGACTGGACGACTCAGGCAACAGATATGTATCTGCTGAAGTCTGGAGTGTGGAAGTCCAAGATCCGGTGCCAGCATGGTTGGGTGAAGCTGATGTCACCAGGCATGCCTTCTCTCCAGGGGTAGGGGCTGCCCATGGGGTCATCTCACATAGAGCACTAACAAGGTGTAGAGCAGAATGTCTAAGGCAGTGGCATTCTAGATTAGGTAAGATGTGTCAAATATCATTATTATTAAAACTTTAGGACTCAAAGGCGAGAGGAGAGATGAGTGTGATGGCAATCCTTGGGTAGTTTGGGGAGTGGATTCAGTGCAGCAACACCAATCCTGGGTCATGCCCAGGGAGCAGTCAGTGTTGGGGAGACAAATGGAAACACCCTCTTTTAGGAAGTTTTRTTTTCAAAACTATCTTGCTTTTCTCTGACATCATCAGAAGGTATGTTGGGCAGAAGGAGGTTCCTCTTTTATCTCATAAGCACATCTTCCTTCATTTCCATGGCCAGGAGTTGTAAGGCCAGGTCTCGACAGCACTGTTGAGGAAGTAGGCCTTGACCCACGGTAGGGTAAGTGCCACATGACTTAGGAGAAAGGGGCAGCATCGCAGCGAGGCTTCCAACCCCCTGACTCTGCTTTCCCAAAGGAGCCATTTTTAAATTAACATTCTCCACTTACATGTGGTTTCGAAAATAAAATCTCTGCAGTTCACACCAGGTGAACCAAGTGTGTGTCTTTTCTCATTTCATCCCTCTTGCAACTTCCCACCTAAGATGCCCTTCCGCAGGGAAATATGGCTGAAGAAGCAGAGTATTTCTTCACTATTTGACTTTAGAAAATTTTTTTTTCATAAAATTAGCTCCATTCCCTCTGATTTTGAGGTTGAAAAGAGAAAATCTTTTGGGTCCATGACAGCCTTTGATGTATCCTGATTTCTGCAGAAAGCTTGTTTTTATAACTGTGGCCCCTGGAAAGCAGGGAAGGTCCATTGAAAGAGTAGAGGCTCTTTTGGGCTTGTTCCTTTCTGACCCCTCAAGAGAAAGAATACTCTCCCTCACGTTTCCCTGCCTCTAAAATTTACCCCAAAGAGACCTGTCCCCACGGTCACTACAATTCTATCTATAGATACAAATTTGCAGGCTGGGAATCTTACCCATTCAGTCATCTCACTCCAGCTGCGGGAGCCATGTTTGTGTTTCAAAGTGTTTTTCTGACTTAGACACATAAAGAAATTACTTTCTAATAAATGGTTGCCTGTATTTTGAATCATTGAAACTATAAGATCTTGTTGAGGTTGGAGATCTCAAAGTTTTGGTGTTCTATGAGCTTTCATGAGAGGGAAAATGGAAAGAAATCATGGGACCACAGAATTTCATAAGATGAACAGGAAAAAAAAAATCCCATTCCACTTGTGTAGACTTTTCAGTGGTGACACTGCACAGGGAAGGGAGTGTGAGGGGAYAGGAGGTTCACATTTACAGGGTGGCTCAGTCAGCCGAGCATCTTCTGGGTGCTTGTTTCTTGCCCTGTGGAATTACCTGCAACAACACCCAAGCCTGTGCTCCTGGGCCTCCTTCCCCCTCATTATCCTGCCCTCTGCCCCATACTCTCACCGCCCGCACTTTCTAAACACATTTCTGAGCCTGGTTGAGCTAAGGCAGGGGAACCAGGGGTATGGAGGGTTGGCCCTCTGAAGGCCCCATGGGGTTACTCAGGTCCAGAGAGATGGAGACCACTGCCTAGATTTGCTCATGAAGTTCTTGGGGCCCTTTTCCAAAGCCTTTTGTGTGTGTGTGTGTGTGTGTGTGTGTGTGTGTGTGTGTGTAGAGCTGGATTTGGGTAAGTTGAGAATTGAAGAATTACCATACAGACTATTTTTTTTAGAAATTTTTTTCTAAAAATGAGAATTATAAAAACCTCAAGGAACTTCTAAGGAGAGTTTATTTCCAAAAATGCAGGACTAGAAACAGATACAAGTGGAAGGGCCAGGAGAGAGTGAGAAAATAGAGATATGGGTCAATGAGGAGACTGCTCACAGCCAGAAGAGGACTACCCTTGAGCATCTTTTGTAAGCCAACATGGTACCTTGTGTAATTCCCATAATAACCCTGTGAACCGGGCAGGTGGCAGTGCCCCTTGTACAGATGAGGAAAGTCAGCTAAGCATCTTGCCCAAGGACCTGTACCTTCTAAGGGGCAGAACTGTAATGTAATCCCAGATCAGTTCAACTAGAAAGATTATTGCTTTTCCACTGTAACCACTGGGGGAACTTGGTTTTAAAGGTGTGCTCTGGCCACGCTTCTTGAGCTCCAAGAATGCAGCGAGGCATTGCTGTCTAGTGTGACTTTCCTCTCTGACTTGCTCACGTTGGTTTATTGGGTATACTCTTCGATGCTCACACCCAGGGCTCTGTAGGTTGGGGGCAGGCTCCCTGCGACTCCCTGATCAAGAGTGTGTTGAATTGTATCTCATGCTTTGCAAGGTGCAATGGTTCACTCAAGCTCCAGATGGTGACAGCCACTGCCTGCTTGGTTCTTTTCGTGGGAAACTACAATGCCCTCAAGGTGTCACATACCTGCAAATAACACAGCTCACAATTCCCATGTTTTATAGAGACCTTGTTGAATTTGGAGGTGAGTGATGTGATGTCAGGAAAAGCCGTGGGAAAAAATATTCAATATCGAATGCTTTTTATAATTTAATTGCTGCCTGTTCCCAGGCTGAATTGAATTCTGGCAGACGTATTCTTTTCATAGTCACAAAATACATTGCGATATGCGGCAAATAAAATGTAGCTCTGGGGTTTTCTCTGCTAATCACAATGAAAAGAATCTGGAAGTGTTATTGTCTGTTGATAAACACTTTGTGCATTCTTGCAGCCAGTTCTAATTAAATTTATCTTAAACTCAGTTTCTTAAATTGTACAGACAATGAAGAGAATCAGATGATTATTCTAATACAGAAGACATAAACTCACCCAAACTGCCTGTACTGCCTCGTGGCTTTTCAACGCCTTGGCGTAGTCCTGCCTTGGATGAGGGAGCCCTTGGAATAGGGCACAGTGCCCAAGGGGTCTRAGTTCCCGTTCTCTTCATTAAAGAAGCACATTGAAGATTAACGGGAACATCTATCTCCTCAAAGCCTGCTGTTGGGACTCTGAGATTGGAACTGCCTGGTCTTTCTGGGAGCCCCATAGTGGGCAGGGACCACATCCTTATTTCCTTGGACTTGGAACTTGGGAATGAGGGGAATAGGATAATAGGATAATGAAGGGAAATAATGAAGGGGAAGGAGGAGGCGCAGGATACTAGATGGTCCAGAYTACCTTTGAAAACACCCACTTCTCCAAGAGAATTGTCCTAGTGTTAGATGTACACAGATTGAGCCAGGATTAAATGGATTTMAAATGATTCCTTACCCTCCCTATAGGTGTCTGAAGTCTCTCTGGAAGTGTTGGCCTAAGCGTATTGTCTCAGTTTCATTGGTTCCTTATGAAATATGTCTTTTAAAAATAAAATGAAATCTCCATAACCTATCCTAGTGAAGATACTCCTGTTGAAGAATAATGAACTGCTTTTTGGAGATGTTCCATTTCTCCACAGCCAGAAGAGTTAAAAACACCTGCCCCCGTCTTGAGCCATTCTCATTTCCTAGCCAGAGGGGTTGGATGCAGCATCCTTACTTTCTTTTTTAAAAAATTTGTTCTTTTTAGTTATACATGACGGTAGAGTCTATTTTGACATATTTGTACAAAATGGAGTATATCTTATTCTAATTAGGATCCCAGTCTTGTGGATGTACATGATGTGGAGATTTACTGTGGTGTGTTCATATGTGTATATAGGAAAGTTATGTCAGATTCCTTCCACTGTCTTTCCTGTTCCTTTCTCAGTTCCCTTCCCTTTGTTCCCTTTTATTTAATCCACCGAACTTCTATTCTCCCCACCCCCTTGTTGTATGTTAGCATATACATATCAGAGAGAATATCTAAACTTTGGCCTCTTGGGATTGGATTATTTCACATCTCTAGCCATTAGAGAAATGCAGATTAAAACTACACTGAGATTTTACCTCACTCCAGTCAGAATGGCAATTATCAAGAATACAAGTAGCAATAAATGTTGGTGAGGATGTGAGAAAAAACCAACTCATACATTGTTGGTGGGACTGCAAATTGGTGTAACCACTCTGGAAAACAGTATGGAGATTCCTCAGAAAACTAGGAATGGATCCACCATTTGACACCTTGGTATGTATCCAAAGTAGTTAAAATCAGCATACTACAGTGATGCAGCCACATCAGTGTTTATCGYATCTCAATTCACAATAGCTAAGCTATGAAACCAACCTAGGTGTCCTTCAACAGATGAATGGATGTGGCACCCTTTCTATCTCTGTGTGTGCGTCAGCTCAGCGTTAGCCTACAGTGTTCTATCAGACTTGGTCACAGCACTTTAATGGGGTGTTGGGTGAACACCTTTGAAGTGTTCAGGGTGTGGCCTTCTTTTTTCAACAGGAATGCCCACGATTGCACTTCATGGAGGGTGTCTTTTCCCCAACAGGTTCTTAGCATGATAATCAACGCAGCCTACAAGCCTGGAAGGGTGTTAAGGGAATTGCAACTGGTGGAAGATCCACACTGGAATTTCCAGGAGGAGACGCTGAAAGCAAAGTAAGTGCTGTCAATCCTCGGGCACAGGGTTCTGCTAATTTGCTGCCACTTTGCCTGCTGTTGTGAAACCTGGCATTTCTCATTTTGATGTATTTTATAGAACTGGAAACAAACCCGAGGACCATCATTCTGTAGTTCTATGTGCTACATACAGATTTATTGGTGGTTTTGCTGTATTTTATAGTTGCCTTACGGCTTAGGATTTCTAAGTGAAACAGGAATTTGCTTACATAATTTTTTTTAATGTTACACACTCAAAATATATATTTACTGTATTTCTGAGCCCAGATTATTTGTTCATAGGAGAAACAATTACAAAGAAAGGATACTTCTTGTCATGTTCATTAATAGCTCTTAATGTTTGATATTATGCAGAGTTTGTACCAAATGCAAGGGCGCTCTACTCTGGGATTTGAAGATTTTTTAAAGATAAAAGGAACTRGTTTATCTATTTAATTTGACTTAAATAAAGTGGCAGTAGGCTCTGGGTTGGCATGTAGTTGTGTTGTGTTTCCTTTCTTTGGAAGCAGGCTAATTGGAAAGGTGAGATTTTTGCTTTGTTTAAAGTTTCTTGACCTCTGAAAACAAGAGCAGAAACTGTATCAATGTGCTTGAACTTGGTTATTGAGAAGTTCATAGAAAAGATTGATTTCTTAAGGTAACTTAATGTTCAATAATTACTTGGAGTTGTCAGGGCTTTTAATAATCATTTATGGTTTTCCGATAGAGAATATCTTACTGGTTGATTTCTCTTTATAGTGTCCTAAAATATCATTGATATATAGCATTTAGGAAATGATGCTTCTTTGGAAGAATGAGCCACTTTTTGATGGCTCTAGTATATCTATCTAAGTTTAAACAAGGTGCCTGCCACATTTATAGCGAAAACTGAGGAATTCTTCATAAGTTGGACAGCCAGAGATGGTTTTCTTGGTAGTGAGCTCGCTGTATCTCCCCATTCCTTCTCAGTCACCCACTCTGTATTCCCAGTGTCTCTGTAGAACAGCTCTATCATTTTAGGTTCTGCAAAAGTCAGGTAAGGGCTAGTGGGACTCTGCCAAATCACAAAGGCTACAAGGGTATGCGTACATAAGGTGAGGGCTTATAAAGTGGCAGTGAAAGGTATCACTGCATGACACCATCCCTTCCTTACTGAGAGACTCACATGAGCCTTGTCTATAGCTCAGAGAAAACCAAGTACTTTCCTGTAGGAGTATTCCTTTCTCTCTTACTTTCTAAGGAAGTCACCAGCCTTTGAAGCAGATTTTCTCCTAAGGATTTGTCAGTGGTGATGGTGGAGATCTTAATCAAGTATTCGTACGTAAATTCTTTCTTCTTGTTTCAAGTCTCTTCTGTAGGGTTCGGTGCAGTCCAGACACACCTAAAGGATTTGGTAAATAGTGAAAGCACAAAGATCTTCCATTCCACGAGAAGCTCTGCTCCTAAATCAGCCAGAAACTTGCTCCAGACACCATAGTGACAGGGAGAGTTCATTTCGCAAGTGTTGGCACTTATTTTTATGTGACCAGGTCCATCAGAGCTTTTATTAAATACAGCCTGATACAATCAAAACAGACGCGGTGAAATCCAGCTCTGCTGAATTGTAAAGGCAACATATTACCTATCGTATCGGAGATGACAGGAAGTTTCATAGCAGAATCTTACGTAGCAACTTATAATGAGGAGATGTCTGAATGGGGTTTCGACTGTGTGATCCTAGCAGTGTTTCCCAGCAGCTGCTAATGATGACAGGTTTACAGTCAGCAGGGGCCTTCCTGTGACAACCCTGCATGTTGAGTCACCTCTTTCCTTCTGATGGAAAATGACAACATTTTAGATCGTGACAACTTTGCTCTTTTCTTTGGTGCAGATGGGAGGAGAGCCGAGCTGGCTTCTTCCCCTCCAAGCAGAGGCAGAGATGTTTTCTGTCATGAATAAATTAACTGAGCAGAGGGGCAACCTGCATTTCAGGCAGCTGTTGTCTTAGTGGGTCATGAGAGCTGAACTGTAATGTTTCAAGGAGTGTCTTCAGGAAGCCAGGGCCTGAGGACAGTCTAAAGGGCAGCGTGATTGCTGTCTTTTAATGTCTGGGACTGTTGATGGATTTTTCCTTTTAAAAAAAAAAATTACTTGACAAGGTGCCTTTGAAAAGGTTTTGACCTGCAAATGTAATAAAAACGAACACTGTCATGGATGGTCGTCTTTGGCTGTTGGCTTCTATTTATCCAAGCAACCATACCTTCCCTGGTACGAAGGAAACTATTGCAGTATTTGAATGTCATACATGTTAGCTTTGCTTTGCTGTGACCAAAATACCTGAAAGGAACAACTTAAAGGGGGCACAGTTTATCTTGGTTCATGGTTTCAGAGGTTCTGTCCATGGGCAAGCTAACTTCATCCTTCTGGGGATGAGGTGAGGCAGAGCATCATGGTGGAAGAGCATGGAGCAAGAAGGCTGCTCAGCAACAGGAAGCAGAGAGAGAGCAAGGTGCCAGGGACAAAATATACACCCCAAAGACAAACCCCCAGTGACCTACTTACTTCCTCCATCCACACCCTAACCGCCTATATTTACCACCCAGTACCGTAGTCCTTTCCAATTATTAATCCACCAGTGGGTTAATCCACTGATTAGGTCACAGCTCTCATGACTGATCATTTCACTTATTGCTATATTCCTGTGTTGTCCCACACATGAGCTTTTGGGGGATACCTCGCATTCCAAACCATGACAGCTTATAAGGAAGAACTCTCTCATATCATTAGTCCTCAGCATGGATCGGAAAGCCAAAATGTACTAGCTGTAGTGCAAAGGGAAAAATGGGTTCTGTGTAGTTCTGAAGAAGAAATTTTCCTTCTTTCTGATGAATTTGGGTTTTCTAACTTGACCTACAATATTTTGAATTTAGGAGAAATCTAGGCTATACCTTAGGGGGATTTTAAAAAGCCCTTCCAACTCCATGCATCTAGAGACATTTTAGTGTTTTCCAACATGTTATAAAATCTTCTGAGGAAGAAAAGAAGACCATGTTAGCTGTGCTTTAAATGCTTTTGAGCATGAAAGCCAGGTAAAGGCCTAACAGATTTTTTCCAGTCCATTGTTACAGATATTCAGACTATTTAAAAAGAAAATGTGCTGGTTATCATTTCAAGTAAATTAGACTTCATTGTCACTTAGGCAAGGAGATAAGGTCAGATTTTTACTTAAAAATCATCTCAAGACGAGACATGGTCAGCTCTGGAAATATTTGGTTTCTTCCTTTTTGTGAATATTGGCTAATTTTGTATGTACTTTTGTTTATTGGCCCTTTCTTTGGCCTTTACTCAGGCCTATGTTGTATGAACAGTGAGATGTAACAATGGCCTTAAAGTGATTTGTGTGAAAAGTATTCCTCACCTGTTCCTGTGAGCTCCACTGGCTCAGATGGTATGGTTTGCTCCCCTGGAAACATGTATGGTGAACTTCAGGTGAGGTGAGCAGGGGGACCGGTTCTGATGGAAAAGCAGGCAGTTCCCTGTGTGTGTCCTTAAATTCTTCTGGTTATGGCACAGTATGTCTGGGTTCAAACTCAGATTGGTTTAGGAAGTTCTGAATGAGTCTCTCCTAAAATAAACACCATGAGGCTGAAAAGCCAGAGGCACTGGAGTGGGAAGGTTAAGAAGATGAGACCATGAAGTTGAAGCTCTGTTCTGAAGGAAATCAGAACCAGGCCTCTCCCCATGCCCGCAGGGTTAGTAGAGGTCCCTTTTTCCCTTAGCTCTTTCTCCTATTGGAGGATGTGAACTCAGTGGAAGAACTGGCCTCRACCTCCGCTCCCTCACCCCATCACTACCTGGGAGGTCATGCCAGTCGCTCCTGATAAGGGGTCATCCTAAAGATGAATGATGGAACCCAGGCTGGACTGCAGTTGTCCCCCTGGACTGTGTTGTCACTTACGAATGGATCCTTATACCATCCACATTGGTAGGAAGGAGAGGAGACTATTCAACCTGCCACTCTTTCTCTGCCCCCTCTATTCTGCCATGTACCCTCCTGCGTGGAAATAAATGCCTACTTTGGTTAGGACATCCTTATTGATATCAGGGAGGGGAAACCTTCTCCTGTACCCTCTTAGGTTCAGAGACTGCAATCCCATGGATTAAACTGGCAACAGAGGCAAGGGGGGTGGTGGAGGGGGTCGATGTACAGTTCCGTGTTCCTGCGCAGGAACACTCAGGAGCGGGTCAAAGAGGCTGTTAGAATCAGGAGTTTCTGCAGCAGGCAGAGAAGGCTTCTCTGCAAGAGTAAACAGAGTTCTTTGAGAAGGAGAAATTGTGTAAGAGAACCAATGGGAGATAAGAAAGTGCGGGATAACGCTTGTTTCTGCAGGTGTGAGTGGGCTCTTCATCTTTTGTGGCCATGGAGTTCCCCCAGACAGGGGGTTGTGGTGGGTCTACTCCTGCTGTCTCTCTCTGAGTAGAAGCTGCCCCAAAGAGGGGATTTATGGCCGTCCTCATTCCTCAGAAGTTTTTGCTGTCAGATAACAGAAGCTCCCAGAAGGCCTCTTTTTCTGTATCTGTCAGCTTAATAATCTGTCTAGTTACTCTGGGGATCCAAGTGGGGTCCCCACATGGACCAGGGTCAGCCGCAGCATTTCCTTATGTGCCCAGTTTGTAGTGAAAGGAGATGATTTTCCTGCTTCCAGAATCMTCCAGAACCTCAGAATGCAAATGTGCTAGGAAGAGAGAGTAGAGGATCTTCTAAAAAATGGGGCAGGAGCTCCTGTCTGAGGACTGTCAGGCATAAAGAGTCTCCTAATGGGATGCCTCCCCTCTTCCTGTCCTTTCTGTTCTCTTGCTAAAGGCATCATTTCCAGCCCCATGATCCTTTGTTTCTTGCATTTTCCTTCTTCCTTTGGAGATGATTTTCACGCCAGGCAGTCCTCTGGTCAGGTCTCTTAATATCTTCCCCCTGTCTCCCCCTCCTCTGAGGTCTTGGAATATGTGCTGTGAATGTTTCTCTGCACACTGCCGTGTGGTGGGTGGCCCACAGTGCATGGGGGTAGTATCAGCATGTGGTTTGGGGTTGTTCTCTGCGCATGTCCTGCTTACAAAACCAAGCGGTCATTTGGATTTTACAGAGAAATCACAAAACACAGAATAAAGGTACTGTTCTTTCCTCCTGATCAGCTTGAGAATAAATTGTGTTAAGCCGTCATATCATCCCCCAAAACCTAGTCATATATGCCTTACTAACCAAGGCATATCACATAAGAAGGGCTGCAGTCTTTGTGCCTCTTTCCTAGTGGCACACCGTTCACATTTGTCTCATCCCTCTGATGTTTACTTTGATCATTTAATTAGTGATGTCTACACACTGCTCCAATTTGGAGGTCATCTGTGGGGAGATACTTGATGTTATGCAATGATGCCATTCCCTGCAAATTTCCAGCTCATTTGTTACTGCCTTGGTGTAATTGGTAGATTGCTGTTTACCAAGTGTATTATCCTCCATTAGTATCATGTCTTATTTTGATGCTCAGATTGCCTTGGATTTGCCTAGTTGGAGCCACCTGTACCTGTTTTTTTTTTTTTTTCTTGAGTCCCTTCAGCATGTCTCTGTCATTCTTTGATATGCTTTTTCTTTCTGACCCAACAAGATGTTCAGAATGTATCTTCTTTCCTGTCCCCAATCCTGGAATTAGCCATTTCTTCAAAGAGCCTAATTTTTCCTGTGGCCTTGTGGTGGGGGCGTTATTGTCAGGGGATTGGTAGAAAATAGCTTCTAGAACCTAAGACCTGGCATTAGCTACGCTCACTGCTCTTAGGGTGTCGCTGCTGCCTGGTTCTGGGAACAGAGCTAGGGTGTTGATGTGCATGTACCTGCTAACCCTTGCTGGAGTCAGAATCCCATCCAGGTTCCAGCCCCCGCCCAGCATGCCAGCTTCCTGTTAGCCTTTTCTTTTTCCATATTTGCAGCTCTTCTCCTGGAGGTGGAAACCTGGCTCAGGCCAGCTTCAATGGACTTGTTTAGTTTTTACTTCCTCAGACCCAGACCATCCCAGTGGACTCTGCCTGCATGCAGATGGCCTCCTCTCCATGTGTGGCCTGCTTTCTGCCTGTCACAGGCTGGGTGCCTCCCACACGGGCTGCACTGCCCTAAAGAGGCCCTTGGGATCCACCCCTTTGAAAAGGGACAAGAGACTGTAGGGTTGGGCTGGTAGAGTGTCAGCTGAGGCAGGTCCTAAAGGGGCTACACTGAAGGCTGTCTGTCTTTGATGGGAGGGTATACTGGCCACATAGKTGGGTCCCACACCACCCGTGCACCATGACTCCTAGACAGCGTTGTGCAGGGAGGGCGGGAAGTCACCCGTCATCTGTAAGCCATGCTCTAATCTCATTTTTATTCATTAGTGGGTTTTTTCKAAATTAATGAGAAGTTTTACTAAAGCACTTCTGCTGAACCATCCCAAATTAAGGAGGGAAAAAGCCACCCTCTTCCCGTTTCCCACAGGCAAGCGCTCCCGTTAGGGCCTTGTGACTCAGAGGCTTGGCCAACTCAAGTATCTGATACTCTTTGAGCGCTCCTGCTGCAGTTTGACATCTGACCTGGTGTTTACATTTCTCCTGCTTTTTTATGTCTTATTATTTTATTTCTCTAAGAGACTTTAAGAATCTTGATATTGAGCTCTTTTAAACAGAGCCCTTGGACCACCAAACAYGTCATGGATAAATCTGCAAGGGAAAACATACCCATTAATTCTTTGTTTCCCACAACATGGGGGGATATACAGTGTTCACATAGTTCTGCTGGTTTTGGGGCACGAAATGCATCAAAAGCAAAAACTCCCCCTCCCCAAAAGCAAGTCCTAGAGACCACTCCTCTGGGATAGGGATGGGGAGGTTTCTACAGTAGGATTGATAGAGGTCCGAGAAAAATCAACCGTTGTGCAAGGCCAGAGGATTTAAAGCATGATTTTATCTACAAAGCATGGCTTTTTAGTTCTTACTCCACAGAAAGTCAAGCTTGGCACATCAGAGAAGTTAAAGAAAAAGGAGGGCAGAGGTACTGGGATATGAAAGAACACTGAATAAATATAAAGTACGTTTTTTCAAGTTAGAATCTATTTTTTTTTCCTGTTGAGACTTTAAGAAGTGATTTATTGGGGGAAAATGAGTTTTTCCAGACTCCAGAAAGACATTTAAAAAAAAAAAAAGCTGAAATACGACTTAGTAGCAGTTTTTTCTATTTATGTCTATTACCACATTGTTCTTTGTGAACCGGATCAAGGTTCTTGAACTTATTTTTTACCAGTAAGTCACAGAAATGATGGTCTCCTTGTTTTAGACTCAGATTTGCACAAATTAACTTTCTGCTCTTCCTGTTGAGTCCTGTCATGGACTGCCGGGTACCTGAGTGTACCAGCGTGAGAAATGCCACAAATAGTATGTAGTGGCAGCTTTGGTAAATAACATTTGTACTAATTTGGGGRAAAACAACCAAAATCAAGAGGAATCAACTTTCGGGGTAGACCAGAAGGTTAGGTGAAGATTTGAGGTCCTTACCTTACTGGTTGGCATTGAAGGCCTACCTTGGAGATTGATCCCTCTTGATTTTAGTTGTTTTCCCCAAAATTAGCACAAATGTTATCTGCCAAAGCTACCAACCACTATGTACTATTTTTCTACAAAATAAATAGCTCAGGATTTCAACTTAAAAATTGGGATCCACATCAAGAACAGTTTCATGGACATAGCTGTTCTGATGCAGCCATGTCATGGCCTCTGTGTTTAGTGAATGTGAACTAATCAAAGACCAGTGGTCCATGCCAATGGGAAAGTTTACCGCTATTCTGAGCCCATGATAGCTTTAAAAACGTATGGAAAGGTGACCGAAACTGATTTCCAAGTGCTCATTTTTTCAGCTGGGCTKCCTATCCTGTTAAACCCTGGGTAAAGCCTCCAGGAACTGTTTATAAATCAAGAACTGTCCATTCTGCCTTCTGTAGATCTGTGGCTAGTCATTGCTGATGTTTTTCTTAGGAAAAAGGTTTCTTTCCTGCAGGTGAAGAACAGCTAGCTCATGAAGACAGTATCTAAATCTCAGAAGCATCTATATTCTCCAATCCTTTGTCATGGGGAAGAGCGAGAAAGGACAACCTGGATTTGTCATTATAGTTAAACAATATCGGTTGCACTTTCCTCTGTTGCCACCAGGTCATAGGGAAGACCCTAAGAGAATATTTAAATACCATGGCAGTAAAGATGGAATCTCTGTAAGCAWTGTTAGTTGGATGGTAAGATTTTCATACCCTTAATAAAGTTCATTGTAAGGAAAAAGAAGTTTGAGTTTCTGGGTCTCATTTTTCTGGTGCCTTGAGGAAAGTTTTGGGAAAACATCAATATTTACACTCTAGACTGTTCTTTCCCTGAAGGAAGAGAAAAACACTTAAGGAAGCCCTTAGAGAATCATTGCAGAATGTAAACCAAGAAAGGGCAGAGTGGATGGCAGGCAGCAGCCATGATCAGAGGWGAAGCAGATTTGTAGGTGACAGGCTGTCTAGGAGTCCCTGTTCTTGTCCCTCTCTTTCCTCTTGAGGTTGTATTAGCCCAGACACCATAACAGTAACCCCAGGCTCAGTGGCATAAACAGTAGACATTCATTTTCTCATATCCTGGGTGCTGGGAGGCTAAGGCCAAGGAGTCAGCCAGGCAGGTGTCTGTGGATGACTGTGGATGGCCATTCTCTGTGCACATGCCTCTAGAGTCTCCTCTTCTCCTGTGGACACCAGTCCTGTTGTTTTATGGTCCATCCTCTATATGATTTAACCATAATTTCTTTGAAGGCCCCATTTCCAAACACAGTTGCAGTATGAGATAGGGCTTTAACATGAATTTTGGAGGGGACAGAGTTCAGTCCTTAACAAGAATGAGGTGTCTTAGGTGAGGTCCTTCTGTTAAATTTACTGCCTCTTGTTCTCTCTCTTTAACTGGAAAAATGAATTTCATTATTCCTGATATACAAATAAAGACTCTTAACTTCCCAAAGACTTCAGTGTGCCCATTTTTGCTCCTGACACACAGAAGCTTTTTCTGTACCCGTTGGCCATTCCCCTGAGGCCTGTTCTGGTTCTGTGACCTCCAAAGCCATGTGCCGTGGGGCGCCTGCAGTGCCAGGAATCCTTGTGTGTGGTCTCCTCATCTTGTGTCTGGGCTGCAGTTGCTGGATTTTGTTTTTTGTTTTGTTCTCATAAAATCCATTGTGTTTCTCTCCTTTTAAATRTGACCTTGCTTACCTATCACCATTCCGCACAGATGCCATTTATGAATAATGGAAATTGTCCCCCGTTTCAACAAGGTGATATGCAGTCTTGGCAAAGATGTCATTTCAGTGTTCTGAATTTACATGGTGTTTCAAAGCAGAATCATGATCCCATAAACACTTGTGCTGTTCAAAAATGAAATACAGCCGCAGCAAAATAGCCTTTAGATTTCATGAACTTCATTTTGAGGACCATGCTGGTTAGGTATGTATCAGACACTACTGATCTTTGGCATGAGGTTATATAGAGAACAAKGAGAAAGAAGTCCTTACTGCAGATTTAGTACCATTCCCACACATTTTTTAAAAAATATTTTTGTGAGATCGTAAGGAAGTATATAAAAGCCAATAAAATGCAAACCACACAGCATGCTTTGTTATTAGAAAATGAAGTGGCTTTGGAATATGCTGGTCCTAGTAATCATTTGGTTTTACTATTGCTTTCCCTTCCTTATTTTCTAGGTACAGAGGTAAAACGTACAGGGCTGTGGTTAAGATCGTGCGAACATCTGACCAAGTAGCAAATTTCTGCCGACGAGTTTGTGCCAAGCTAGAATGCTGTCCAAATCTGTTTAGTCCTGTGCTGATTTCTGGAAACTGCCCAGAGAACTGTTCCATTCATACCAAAACCAAATACAGTAAGTACAAATGATGAAAAAAACCTAACAACATTGGTCCGTAAGCCGGAACTGCAGCATAATATAGTTGGTTTTTGATTTATTTTTAGCCTTCTGAGTAGTGTTTCATAGGAGCTGCTCTGGGAAATTGTTTTTAAGATTTGCTCTGGAAGATTCCTCTGTGTTTTTAGCCTGGCATTGAGGGAGAGATGGGGTCAATTCAAAACAAGGTAGATTGTCATCTTCAGGCTTTGGAAAAGGAGAAAGGAGAATGTGTGTACTGTCTTGGATTTTCCATGGATCACTTACTCCACAGCATCTTGTGATGCTCAGGAACCCAGATTCATCTCTTATCCTTATGCTGAGAAGCCAAAGAGGTCTTTTGATGCCTTTCTYGCGGATCCTTTTCTTGGCAGCTTCTTCCCTGGTTAGATACATGCTCAGTACTCTCTGAGGGCTACCGTAACTAGAGGATTCTGGAGCAGCCGTCCCCCCCCTCTTCTTTATCCCCAGCCGCCTTTGCCTYTCCACTGTAAGGCAGGATTCAACCTGGTACCAGTTTTCTGACTGGGAGCATGTGCCTCTGCCAATCCCATCTCATTCAGTGATCCTGCTGTGGGCCGACAGCCACTCTCTGCCCTGTGCTTCCTGTGTCTTGGTGGCCTTCTCCATGTTGGTAGCCACTCCAGATGTCTCTCTCTCTGATATCTCAAGCCCTGAAAACAGCTTCTGAGCTCCCCAGTTCTCTGTCATCCCAGGGGCAATTGGCTCTGCCAGCCCACATTCCAGCCCCCTGCTGGAGAGGACAAGGACCCACACAGTGTGGCCAGTACTCTCTGAGCCACAGCCACCTGTGACTCGTCCATTTGGGTGTGGGAACCAGGAATCTGGATGTATCTGAGGCACTATTCAGAGTGTGATGTCCTTCTGTCTAAGCACACTCATCTGCCTTCCACTCCTGTTTCTACTAAAGGTCAGCCACGCTCTGTGGCAATGATCCCCATTTCAGTGTACCCACATAGTCTTGAGTGAGAACCCAGGTGGGTGCATATCTTCTGCTTCCTGAAGAACTCATCTCCACAGCCTCTGACTTTTTCTGTGGCAAGGATTTACTAGGTACCAGCCACTCCTGAATGAGGAATGATGAGGGTTAAACTTAGCCTTGAATTTTAGTGTACAAACGAACTTCCTCATATGACCGGGGAATGGGAGGGAAGGAGCAACTATTAAAACTCAATTAAATGAAGCCGAAATGAACTTGAAAATGATCCTGGATCTGGTTTTATAGAACTTCAAAGTCCTGAGATTCCTTATGTGGTCTTAGAGTGAACATTGCTACAGGCAGAACCTGAACTCCAGTCAGAGGAGTGCAGAACAGTATTTCGATGGAATCCAGAACAGCAGGAGTTGTTCAGTCTAATTCTAAGGCCCCCCAAAATGTACTGACCTCTGGTTACATTTAGTTAAACCAGGTCTAACCTCTGTAGCCTGCTTCTAAGAGGCTGAATCAGCCTTGCCATGCCTGCTTGGGATTTGGGGCGTGAGAATGGTTTTTCTTTCCCGTCTCTCTCTCTCCTCTCTCTCCTCCTCTCCCCATCTATCTCCTCTCTAGAGCAGTCGCCTCCCCTCCTCTTCTCTTCCTTTGTCCAGATGTGTGTGTGTCTGCAGCCTAAAATGTTTTAAATCTTCTTTCTTCCATAGCCTACTATTATGGAAAGAGAAAGAAGATCATTAAGCCSCCAATTGGGGAAAGCAGCATTGAGAGTGGACACCCAAAACCAGCCCGAAGAAGGAAACGACGAAAATCCATTTTTGTGCAGAAGAAGCGGAGATCTTCGGCTGTGGACCTAACTGCAGGCTCTGGGGAGGTACCGTCTGCTTAACTAGAAGCACCTGCCAACATTGGGTTTTAAAGTATGGCCCTTCCTGGCAAGTGACTGCTTTACAGGGAAGATTGGGGCAGAATGGATGAAAGTGCAAAATAAGTACCCTCTTCCTGTTTGGTGAAYACAGCTTAGCTGCTTTGGCTAGAAAAGGGCCACCAAGCACTGACCTTGAGACTATGGGAGGAATGTCAGGCATCCCTGGACAAACCTGGCACAGGTTTTTACTGGCTGTTCTGGGGAGGAAACCATGCTGGGATCTGAGCCTGCACTGTGGCCTGTGGCATAGGCCATCCTGCTGTGCTCAGCGAGTCCCATGCCACCCACCCCCACACATAAAGCTTTCCTCTTATTCCCAGGAAAGTGAAGAGGAGGACGCAGACCAGCTGGACGAAGATACTGCAAGTGAGGAGACCGGCTCTGAGCTCCGAGATGACCAGACTGACACCTCGTCGGCCGAGGTCCCCTCGGCACGGCCACGGAGGGCAGTCACCCTGCGCAGTGGCCCAGAACCCACGCGGCGGCCAGTGGAGAGGGCACGCAGGGGCCGTATGGTGCAGACCACCCCTGCAGAGGAGGAGGACAAGGGTCCTGTGGCCAAGACTGAGGGCCCTGAGGTGAGCCCCCGAGCCTGGAACACAATCACAGGGGCGATTTGGGAGGATTACAAGTTCAAGGCTAGACTGGACAAGGTAGCGAGACCCTGTCTCAAAATAAAGCAGATTGGGTCTGTGGCTCCATGACAGAGCCTCTGGGTTCAATCTGCCGTTACTAACCAACCAAACAACAGGCGAAACAGCAGCAGCTGTTCTGGTGAAGCTCCCAAGTTGATGGGGTCAAAGGCTTTGATGTCACCTCTGCAGACGAGTCCTGAAGCATGAGAAGGGAGCAAGGAATGGAGGAGCACCCCCATTTCTGAAGGGTTTTTACTCCGCCAGGGCTTCTAGTCAGGAAGAGGGCAGAGTCTAGTGCTCCAGGTCCCTCTGAACACTGGGCACCCCAAATCTCATCTCCACGTCTCCTGTTTCTGCCTGGCTTTTTGCTTCCCACTGCCTGTTGAGGGGTCACCTCTATGGTGTCATAAAACGTGTACCAGACCTCCCCATGGCAGATGGTAGCTCTTCAGGTGGTATGTGTCATTGGCCCCACCGTCACAGACATCCTAAGGAAGCTGGCTTTCTTGTGCACTTTCTCCCTGTAGCTTATGATTATGAAAAGAGAAGGAAGATCAGTGAGTTCAGCACCCTAAACCAGCCAGGAGAAGGAGAGGAGCAGGGTCCCCTTAGCATCCTCGTATCTAAACAGAGATGCTTCGTCCATAAGCAGGCCCAAGATTTCCCCGACCTGGGGCTTCAGGATGGGCCGTCAAGGCCTTTCTTGTATCTAACCTCTGAAGGCACAGGGGTCATTGCAGGTGCAGGGGAAGTCACCACTGGGACACTTACGAGGAAACTCCCCAGAGACTGTTTCTGTGGCTTGTTCAGGTGCCCAATGAGAGAGCCCTAGGGCGGTGATGACAGCATTAGAAGGACCCACTTGGCCACACAGTGTGCAATGATGGTCTCCTGCCCTGCTTCTCCTGCAGGAAACCAAACAAGAGGAGGAGGGGAGGCTCGTCCTGGAGAGCAACCCGTTGGAGTGGACAGTCACCGACGTGGTGAGGTTCATTAAGCTGACCGACTGTGCCCCCTTGGCCAAGATCTTTCAGGAACAGGTATGGCGCCTGGCTGTGCAGTTATTGGTTCCTGTGAGACTCCAGATCTTAAAGGAACACCCTGTCTTACCTGGCTTCTTCACGACTGCTAGGCGGGGACAGATGTTTCAGGTGCCCATTCAGCTGCAGTTGACACCTATGAGGGTGTTCTTTCGTGCTGACAGGCAGGTGTGAGAGACCTGACGCCCCATGCCCCAAAGCCTGGTTCCTGCTTCTCATTGTCTCACTGACCCCATGGGGATGAGACTCTTCTGATGGCACCCAACAGGGCAGGGGTGAGGGAAGTACTATTAACTGACAGGGCAGGGGTGAGGGAAGTACTATTAACTGACAGGTGAGTAGTGGCGGTCCAGGCCCCATCTTCATTCTACACTGACTCCACAATGGTACACTTGCTTTTTTACTGTCCAGCAGGATGAACATCTAACTCCTGCTTGTCCTTCTCAAATGCCACCTAGCTGGGGTGTTGGGGGTCCTGGTTGCAGCCTGGCTGGACTGGAAGTGAAGGCTGATTGCTGGGCCTTCCCTGGTGGGGAGTGGGCTGGGCCAGATCTCCCCAGGGCCTTTTCCTGCAGTACAGCCATTAGTTCTACAAGTGTTTTGTTAGTGCCTGTTGGCCAATCTGGGTTTCAAGTGTCTAAGCTCTAAGGTTTGATTATATGAGGCACAGAAACAAATGACAACTACAAAAATAACCAAGAAATTCAGCACTGTGACATTAATTCAGGTCCCCAGGGTCATACCCAATCTTCCCTGTTTTTTCCAACATTCAGATTCCTTCTATTTGGTTTATAGATAATGGCCAGTGCTCTTAGTTCTGCTTGGCAAGAGAATAAGGAAATGTGTGTCTGCTGGACCTTTTCTGAGGGGAAGCCCTCCGTTCATTGTGTTCAGGTTAATGCTGTTTTCATCACTGTTTGCTTACTTTCTACATTTCTTTCATCACAAAACAGTTTAAAACCTATAGTATTATGATGGACAATGTACAATCCATTGATGCAGTCTAGACCTGAAAGGAGTTTGTAACCTAGCAAATGAAATGGCTGTAGTTAGCTACAACAGCCAGACAGGTGACAGTGTGCCCTGACAAGAAAGGGGTTTTCATTTCCATTTTTAAGTTAATCTGAAAGCAAACTGCCAATCTGCACACAAGCCACCTTGCATCATTCTGCCTCTGGCCTTGTCTAAAGAGTTCAAGTGTAAGCCTGTGGCTCAATTGACTGAAATCCTTGCATTGTTCCACAGTATAATCAATATCTGTCTTTTCAGAACTTGCATTGAAAAATACTGTTTTCCATATAATAAATTGAAGATATGTTCATCCAGTCTATTTTTAGATTTAACAAACCATAGTCTAGAAAGAGAATTTTTCAAGCATTAAGTCAGAAAAATACAAAAGGAAGGGTCTCTGGTTTCCCATGCACCCAGGGAATTTCCCACTTTTCTCCAAAATCAATGTTGTAATGAATTGTACAAAGCAAATTAATGCAGTTCCCAGCTCCCTCAAGTAGGGTAGTTCTTGACATTCAGACTTTTCTCCGGAGAAGTCCTGGAGGTGGAGTGATTCTTCTGATCCACCCTGGAACCTTCTGCAGACGTGTGATAAATTCGGGCTGAAGGAATGAATGGGGCAAGACGGGCGAGTTCCCTCCTGGCCTTCTGACACTCACTGACAGAGAGGGGATAAACTGGGAGTGATTTTTTTTTTTTTTAACCTAAAGAACCCAGGGTAATGACCTTGTCCTTTATTACAACACACAAACAGAAAGAGAATTTCATGTCAGAGTTTAGGTGATGGGTTTTTGTGATAAGCCAAATCTTGGTCTTAAAAATAAAAAATAAAGCAATAGATGAAATCCTGTGAAATTTATTGCCTAATGCAACATTTCCCCATCTGGCATTTATTTATTTATTTTTATTAGGGAATGTTTTATTGCTTATGAAGCCGACTGAAAACCCCATTTGTTCACATAAGTTCCCTGTGGCTGGTTGATACCATTTAAATTGATGAAATCAGCAAAGTTCACAACTTTCACAGAATTCATAATGGCATTGCAAAAAAAAAAAAAAAGGAAAGAAAAAAAAACATTGTGTTAAAATATGTAACAAATGCCAATTATACAGGTTTTAATATGCTAATGTGTGTCTGTTGGCTCATTTATTTTTTCAACAATATTGACCACCTGTTATATGCTTTATGGTATCCTACAAGTGTTTATGGAATGTGGTCCATTCTATATTGGCATTAAGTTTTGTTTTTGTTTTTTCTTGATTTAGCTTCCAGTGCCCACATTTAACTAAGAAATATTTTTCAGTTGAGCCAGAACAAAGGACTGATTGTCTCACTTCTAGATTTCAAGTTTCGGGAGTTCAAGACCATTTGTGCCAGGAGAGGTTAATAGGCTGGCTCATCCATACCTTGTATACATACATCCTAGAAAAGGAACGTGAAGCAAAGCTGGTTAGAGAGAAAGGCTAAGATCCCACTGGTATAAAGTCCTCTCCTAATCCTACGCCCAGTTTCGAATAGTATCTCAGAACATTTCAAAGACATGGAACGTGACAACAACATCCCTGCTTGTAGATTAAAGCAGTCGGCCCCCTCCCTCCAGCCACYTCTTCTAGCGTCACTGAAAAGCTTGGTCCTTCATTCAGACACTCTTCCTCTTCTGAGAGCGAAAATAGGTAGGCTTTAGTTGGTAAGAGTCTTATTTCCACTTAATTTTACATTTCGAATTAGGCAGTTTCACCTGTTATAATAAAAAGCTGTTGCCCGCTGGGCTGTGTGAAGTGCATGGGCACTTGAGTCCTTTTCTGACCATCAGACCTTTAATTACTAATTTTTACTAATTTGTTCTATCATCTTTTAGCCCAGATGACACAGCTCTGATGTGGTGATGCCTCTGGTGGGTCACGGCAGGCGTTATCTGAGCTCTGAGAGGAACTAGAAGGAGCCCGGAGGCTTGATTGGCCTGTGTGCAGAGATCACAGTGGGCAAATGCTGACGGCAGTGTGCATTCCCTCCCCTGGGTGCTGTCAGTTCACAGACTGTTATAATCTCCAGGAGCGTTTGCAAAAATTATAAACTCMCCATTAACAGCACACACGCCTTTTATTTCTGGAATGTTATGGCAACCACTTAGAAAATCTATACTCTATAATTTTATGCTGCAAACATGTACATTATGTAGTAAAAATCCACACATCTATAACTAAAAAACAAACAAACCAACACAAAACTCTAAATAGTGTTTAGCCTATTTGTTCACCTTTTGTGAATTAATCTGCTCACATACAATAAGCAGACTGCCCAAATTAGCGATTTACTTTTTTWAAAAAAAATTTCAGGATTGTTTATAAGTTTCCTTGCGATTGAGACTGTTTCCTCCTCTTTTTACTTCTCTTGACCTGAGCACTTCCATTGAAGAACTGCCAAGTCCTAAATGAAGTGCTCTATCAAAATAAATGTAAATTTGCCACATGCTAAGCATGGCTTTCATGTTATATGATTTATTATATTCTRTTTCTTTAAAATTAGTAGTCCAGTGTAACCTAATGAGTGTTCTGCTAGCAATTCTGAATTCTGTAGGAGTGTATTTGTAAGAATTAAGTCAAGTGTGAAGTCTGGGGTGTTATTTGTRTAATCTTTTAGTGCAAAACAACTTCTTCCAAACCATAACAAAGGCTAGGTAAGAGGGAGAGTACTCGTTCTTTGACGGCTGGGGATGTCACACCTATACTCTCTCCTGCCCAGTTTTTTTTTCATTCACCCATTTCCCTTCCTGCCCATTGTGAGGTGGACTAAGTGGGTCACATGTAGTCTGCAGCATGAGCAGGTCTGACACGGGTTAGGCATGTCTGTCAGCCACGATTCTGGGGTCCCTGAGGCTTTCCACAGTCCTCCCAACAACCCCAGCAGGGACCACCTGATAGTCGGTCATTAAACCTGACTTCAGGGCTGGGGTTGTGGCTCAGCGGTAGAGCGCTCGTCTAGCACGTGCAAGGCCCTGAGTTCTATCCTCAGCTCCACAGAAAAACAAATAAATAAAATAAAGGTATTTTAGTTGTTCATCTACAACTAAAAACTATATATTAAAAAAAAAATAAACAAAAAACCTGGCTTCTTCCAGCAGGCATTGTGGAAATGAGGGGCGTGAGCTTATTCTCGGTGGCATGGTCTTTTCAAAGTGATAATACCCAGGAGTTCTATTTTGCATCATTTAATGAGGACAGAAAATGGGTTGAAAACCTGAAAACCTAGAGGTGGCAGTGGTTGGGCTCTTAGGTGGCTCAAATAGGGACAAGTTGCGTTTTAACCACTTTTCCCCCCTTTAGTAATTGGTCCAGTTTTTAGTTAATTCTTCCCAGACGGAGCCAGAATGAAGGAACTCTGTAACGATCCAGGTGGTTTAGCCTTAGCCTCCCTCCATCTTCCTGCAGATAGGAATTCCATTCAGTTCTTGTTTTCTCCTCACTTCTTAGTACYACATGCACCAGGTTTTCCATGTGGATTATGGGTAAATTGGCTTCTTTGGGGGACAGGGGTGGGCATGTACTCAAAGGCATGGCCTCCCGGCACTTCTGTCTCAGCTTGCAGTTCACACCAGGGCGTGTGGCCTCTCCTTCACCCTCTTCCTGCAGCATCAGAGCAGAGACCTTTTGAAACCTATAGTGTGCCCGTCTGCTGCTGACTGGGCAGGGGGAAGTTGGGCCCAAGGCACTCTCATTGGCTTTTCTGCTTGGGGAAGTCTGAGGACAGGACAGGTGACCAGGTGGTTGGGTGGGGTGGGAGGGACATCTGGTTTGATAACGTCAGAGGATGCCATTTTGAGTCCCCAGACCTTTCAACACTCAAAAAGCATTTGTTGAGAAAATAAGTAATGATCCTCTACTTGAATGTAGTATATATTTATGTCAGTGACCTTCATTGAAATTGTCTGTAGAGAATGAGTTACATGTTAGGGCTGATTTTCAGTTCTAATTGAATACATATGTCCAAGGAAGGCCATCATGTCCAAGTGTGGCTGTTAGAGACTTCTGTTGAGAGTTTAACATCAGAGAACCACAATTCTAGTTCCAGTGTTGTCTCTAACCAGCTGTATGATCTTGGCTAGATCAGCTAGCTTTTCTGGTGGTTGATTTCCATCTTAAAAACAAACTTCCCTTTCCTTAGGCTCAGTTGCAGTGTGAGTCCCTTTCCTGTTCTGTTGATTTCATTGAACATGATGGTAAAGCCACCTGCACCACTGTGGTGTAACATCAACCCACTGCACACTAAAAGTRTATTTCCATGAGACCCAGGGTGCTTAGAAGACTTGGTGTCCCTAGGCTGAAGCCTGTCTCTACTTGGATTTAACATATGTAGGTTTGGCTCCAAACATATCCCTGGCCAGGAAGTACCCTTCCTAGCTTCATGACCTTGAGCCAAACACTGTTTCTTCCAGTTCAATACTTCTGATTCCTCCTTAGTTTAGTCAGCCTTATCCGTAGCCTTTGAAAAGGAATTAAAACAGCATGTGAGAGCAGTACAAGCAAAGGAGAAGAAATTTAAATGTAACCTAAAAAGTATATTGACATTTTATTAGTTTATCTTTCAGGATGTATTCCAGACTGATCTGTTTATTTTGTGGTTTGATAAGGTCCCAGGGGTCTTTGTTGAGACATGGTGTCTAGCACCATACCTCATAACTAGTGTTCATCTGTGATTTTAAAATACCAAATTGCACTCATGTTGATACTTTTTTTTAAGTTAATGTTTAATCTTTTTGCCTTTGTACTTATTAGGGAGTATTGTGGCTTTTGAATCTGATCAGATAATAAATTATTCTTGCTCGTATTGTTAGTCCTTTGAACCTGATTGGATGATAAATTATGCTTACTCTTGATATCAGTCTTCTCAGGCTGCCATTTATACATACTTCGGTTTTTGCCTTAGATATTTTCAAGACAGTCAAATAAAACATTAGCTTAGGAAAACAGCTCTAGTGTGAAATTCACTGATAGGTGATGTCTGAATCTCGTGTTCATGTACTGTTAAATGACTGTTAAGTCCTTGTGGTTTATGGAAGCCCTGGGCATAAAACTTTTCCACGAGACAGAAATTCTGGTATGCTGAGCTCAGTTTACTTCCACTGATATTTATCAACACCTCAGGACTGTAATCTTTTTTGAGATTACCTCCCTCCTCCAGAATTTGAAGACTCTTGGTTGATAGAGCAGATTGCAGTTAAGCATAATAATCCAATCAAATGGCATCTACATAAAGATTATCATAGGAAGCAAGGGGGCTAAGAGACAGAGATGTTCCCCCAGTAGAGGTCAGGGCTTTGGAATGAGTCTCCATGTCCCTCTTCCTGTAGCAAATTACATTTAACGATGACTTCATGAATATCTTCATGGTACAGGACCCTGTGTGTAGATAAGGAGAGATAAGTAAAATCGAATGAGCAAATGTTCCTGTGTACAAGTAGCAGCTTACTCTGGACAGTTGTTTGTATGTAAATATGAGTGCGTGTGCAGATGTGGTAGTTATCTTCCTTTTACTTCCAGATGTAGGATTCCCTTGAGCATCTTTTGTAAGGTGGTGGTGAATTCCTCCAGTGTTTTCTTGTCTTGGAAGCCCCTTTTTCTCTATTTGTGAAAGATAGCTTATTAGTAGGTATAGGGTTCATGGTTGGCAGGGTTTTATTTTATTTTTTTCTTCTGGCAGAATGTTGAACACTTCATCTCTTTATCTCCTGATCTATAGAGTTTCTGCCTAGAAATCTGTTCTCTAGTGGGAGATTCCTTAAATGTGATGAAGGAATGTACTTTAGCTCTTTTTAGAATTCTTTGGATTTTGATGTCTTTTGAGCCTCTTGGATGAAAGTTCATATATTTCCTAAGATTTGGGACATTTTCAGCTCATATTTCATTGAATAGACTATGTATATATTTTTCCTTTTCTTCTCCTTCTAGAATACGCATTATTTGAATATTTATTCATTTAATGATGTCCCACAAGTTTTAGAGGCTTTCCCCTCCCTCCCTCCCTCCTTCTCCTCCCCCCCACTCTTGCCTCTTGGTTATTTCAAAAGACATATCTTCAAGTTCAGAAGCCCTTTCTTCTGCATGATCTAGTCTGTTGTTGGAGCTCTCAACAGTTTTGTTTTGTTTTTGGTAATGAGCATTGAATCCAAGGCTGCTTAACCACTGAGCCACATCCCCTGCCCTTTTTATTTTGTACTTTGAGACAGGGTCTCGCTAAGTTGCTAAGGGTGGCTTTGAATTTGCCATCCTCCTGCTTCAGCCTCTGGGATTACAGGCATGTGCTCCTACGCCCAGCTCTCAGTAGTATTTTTAATATAATTTACTGAGTTGTTCAACTTGAAGACTTGTTTGACTTTTTTTCATGATCTGTATCCCTTTGTTGAGTTTCTCATTCATATTGTGAACTGTTTTCCTAATTCAYTGAATTGCTTGTCTGTTTGCACTTGTATCTCATTGAGTTTCCCTCTAATTCTTTTTCAGGCATTTCATCAACTTCCTTTTCTCTGGTGTCTGTTGCTAGAGTTACTGTGCTCCTTTGGAAGCACTGACTTTTTCATGCTTCCTGTGTCCCTATGGTGATACTTGTGCATCTGTAGATCCATTTACTCTACCAGCTTGGTGGCTTGTGCATTAAGAGATTTTCTCAAGGTGTCAGATTGGCACACTTCACTGGCTTTGGTTCCAGTTGAGTACCATAGTGTCATCTCTGTATAGCTTCTTTGGCTATATGATGGATTTGGGTGTAGTGTGTGTGTGTGGCAGTGGGGGCATAGAGCCTATCTGTTTCCATGGGCTCTGGTGGCTTGGGTGGGTGTGTCACCCARAGCAGCGTGGGTGTGTTGTCCTCTGTGGAGGTCCATGCTGTGAGGTTGGCATATCTGTCTTTAACTTCTTCTCAGCCATCCTGATGGTGAAATGTCAGAGCTTGGCAGGAAAGTTAGAGAGCTTTCATGTTTGATAGAGAGCCCTTTTCTAGTGTTCAAATTGGTAGAGGAAGGACCTGGCCTGGGCAAGGGAGAGKTTGCTTGGGAAGCCATGTCTGAAGCAGCCTACCCACTTGAGTTCTTTATACCCACCAGGGTGGGCATGTGAATTTCAGAGCAACGAAAATGTTCTTAGCAAAAACAGTATTTTACTGAAACAAAGGTTAAACAGTCATCTCTCCAGAATTTGATGGAACAAAAGTAGCACCTTCCCATAGTAGGCCCCAGGCAGAAGCCTGATGTGACCAGTGCGCCCCAGGTGCAGGATGCCACTTCTCTAACCTGGCTTTATTTTCTGGCAGGACATTGACGGCCAAGCGCTCCTCCTGCTGACTCTCCCTACAGTGCAGGAGTGCATGGAGCTGAAGCTGGGACCTGCCATCAAATTATGCCATCAGATCGAGAGAGTGAAAGTGGCTTTCTACGCCCAGTATGCCAACTGACTCCACCCCTGGGGACCTGGCCTGTGATCTTTTGTGATGCTTTGTGAAGGTTTTCAGGACTGAGAATTTGATTTTTTCCAGGATATATAAAGTGGTACATTCACTAAGTATTACCAAGAAGCCAGAGCCCAGCACCTCCCTCATCCACCAGCCTATTTGATGTTTCCGTGTTTTGAAAGCACACTGATGTCCTACGGGAGTAACTTCTACAGAGCATAATTACAGTTCTGCATCAGACCCTGCCAGGATATGGAAGAACTGCTCTGGATATCCACGTTTAGCCTTTCTCCCACCCCAAACCAGGCAGCTTCCTGGGAACAAGTTTTTCTAACCCAAGGCCCACGTTCTTTGAAAGCTGGGCTGGGTGCATATGTGGCCAAGGAGGATTCCCGACACCTTGCCAGTAGTTTTTACTGTACTTGTTCTCAGATGCTTCCTGTCGATACGTGTGGCCCTGGTTTAGTGTCATGTATGGCACTGTGGATTGATCTTGGTGGTAACTCCCTTCTCCATCACAGCTGTGGACACAGATGTTTCAGGATGTCGATCTAAAAAGACATGCTAAACGTCCACATCCAATTCTCTATCAGAGGTGCCTTTTAGACAGTACAGGGGGACAAAAGGAGGCTGGCATCTCATCAAATGACATCCTTGAGTGATTGAAGCCTAGAACATCTGTGAAGGCCAGCAGAGCCACACTATCACCATCATCCTAATTTAATGTTCAACAGGTCTGTGAGTGACTAGGGAAATGTAAAAATGTATATTGAAGGAAACGCTTAATTTCAGAGAGCAAGAATGGGAAGAGGTCTGGAGGAAGCATTTGGTGAACTAGTTACCTCYACTTAGAGGGATTACTGCAGCAGGTCACTCTGAGTCACTCTGAGCATTTCTTCTGACTTTTCCAGGCATGAGGAGGATGGAGACCCTTGAGCAGTTTGGTTAAATCAGCTAAGTTGTTTGCAGACAAATTGATGGCTCTGAGAGCTGGCTATTCTTTTACACCCAGCACCTCCATGCGTTCTCATTCTCAACCCAAAGGGACTATTATTCTGATGTGGCCGCTTGCTGCCTTTCTAAAGTTACGCAAGGAAACCATAGCTTCATGTTGTCCCAAAGTGAACAGAGGCTTTGTCCCTTTTTGTTTGGTTGTTTTACWTTGTGGTTATTTTGTTTTAAATAACTATGTTGATATTTTCCTTTGACTGGCATCTCAACTGTTCCAGTAATATGGCACGGTGGGCTCATTAGCTTCTCATGATTCAGTGACATTTATAAGGTGTGATTATTGGTTGAACTTCAATTCCTCCTGCTAACCTTTCTTAATATTCTGTAACAGTTACAGATGAAAATGGAAAACACATATTTTATCGCTGAGACTTTTTAGTCTCCCCTTTAGCTGATTCCTACCCTCAAGTTTTATAAACATTTGGTGAATGGACCTGCCTGGGGACCTCTGGTGGAAGGAGTCCCACATGGTGTTGGAGGATGGACATGTCCTTGGCGATTGATGGTCAGCTTGCGGAAGGATATCTGACTTCTAAAGTCTTGACCTCTCTTCAGTTTCCCACTTCTGCCTTCTCAGCCACCTTATTGTGGCCTTAAGAGCTCAGTCCTATGGTCTGGTGATTGGAAAGGGTGTCCATTTCAAGATCTGTGGCATCTTCTCTGTGCTCACTCCTTTATGATCCTTCACTGGGGTCCTTTCGAGCTGAGATGTTTCTACTGCATTTGAAAATGGGGATGAAGACATGTGGCTACAGCATCATATTGTACTTTGAGAACAAAAGTCACCTTCTTGTGCCCTTTCCAGTAGTGACATGGAGGAAGAGGTGCTACATCAGAGTAAGGAGATCTTCTGGAGTCTCCTGAGCTCACCCAGAGAGCCAGAGGACCACCCATCAGGAAGCCCAGGGTAGAAGCAGCCACCATTGCTGGGGGAAACTTCTTGCTTCCCAGGAGCTCACCATCCAAAACTCTCCTTATCCTTTTGACCTGGARATTAACTTCATTCTTTCTTTGTGGTACTTCAGTTTTGTGTCCACATACTGAGGAGACGGCTGTGACCAAAGCAGAAGAGAGCCCAGTCACCCTGGTGCCATCATGGAGGTGTCTGTGTGCCATCTCCCAGCCCTCCAGGAGAGCTGGGAAACATTTGAGGACCAAGGAGGTGCTTTTCCTCTGAGAGTGACCAGTGTCCCTATGAACTTGGATTCTCTAGGGATTCCACCGTGTTTCACATCAGCAGCAATTCTGTCACAGAATTGTAACGTGGTTTTCATTTCTGTCTGGATTCACCTCTCACCAGCTTCTTTCTTAAAGATAGGACCAATTTCCGGAATATTTTGCTGTGCTGTGACCTTGTTGCTTACGGCAGAAAAAAAAAAAAAAAAACCCAAAACAAATAAAAATGGATTTTACTCATATACCCCCAATGCCACCACTGCCCAGAAGCCAAAAATGTCTTGGTCTAAACAACAGTAGACAATGAACCCTGCTCCTTCCCTGGATGGCACTATTTCCTTATCTCTCTTTGATCATCCTTTGGGACCAAATCCTTTCCTGTATGCACCTGGGCTGTGTGTACATCACGCCACTCATTACCTCCTAGGCCGGCCGAGCAGACCCCTCGCAGGCTGTACCGTGTAAGCAACCCAAGAAACAAACACCACCTCAGCTGTAGTGATGAGAGTCCATCGCGCAATCCCACCCTGAAGCTAAGGGCACTTGTTTCAGTCCCTGACTTCTTGACTCATTTGTACAATGTTGTAAAAAGAGAATAAAACCTACCAACCTGAAAAGAGCAGGGTACCACCGGCATGATGGAGCTGCTTTGGTTCTCAGCAGCAATCCTTCATCACGGAGCTCCTGGGCTCGGAGAACTCATCTGTCCTTTGATCCAAGTTTGAGTCAACAGAGTATTTGAGCTGTACAGCAATTTAGATTCTTCTACCTTCTTTGATCATATTTGAAAGATCATTTCCTGGGTTCACTTTGATTTGTTGCTCCATAAATTACAAATGATTCACACCCCAACACTGCCACCTCTGACCTTTAGTACAATCTCTAGGTTGATTTTGGTCAGCCTTTTGAAGATTGGTCTATTTGCAAATTTATCTCATAGAATTTTGAGTGTTGTATGAAGCAAGTGCTGGATTTGCCTTCTTATACAAAACACCCCTTTCTAAGTTTTGGAAACACTAGGGGTTTTCATACTTATTTTCTAGAACACCCATTTATATTTATTTCTGTATATAGAACTAAAAGCAAAGCACAGTAGGGTTAAGGTCCTCATTGTGGGTTGAACATTATGGCTGCTTTCGGGTTAGGATGGTAACTTCTAGGCTCCAGTTACTCTGTATTCTGTCCTTGAAAGCTGTGATTGGGTGTGCAGTTAATTGGAGGGAAAAATAATAAATTCAGATGTCTGTAGTGTATAAAGAACAAGTCTGTAGAGAGGTCCATCCTGCCCGTGTCTCTGCGATATAACAACAGCAAGGGAAAGCCGTGTTGGCACCTATTACATACAGTTCAGTGGTTGTCTTTTTTAATTCACTGTTCATCTCTGTTTCAACGTTTTCTGAAAATTACTCCCTTTAATTTGGTGAAAACTCCAAGTTTGATTAATTCTTGAAGCTTTCATCACTAGAGTGGTTTGCCACTTATCCTAACTATGGGATGATAAAATCAAATTGTACTATTTTTGAACTGTTTTTAACAACAACAACAACAAAATAATTATCTAAAAATGATGATTGCTAATACTTGGTTGCCACTTTGGGTGTTGGCTCTAGTTTAAATGATAGACAATAACTCAAGCAGCTTCTGGAGCTGTAGTCTTCTGGGGTTTTTTTTTGTTTTGTTTTGTTTTTGTGTGTTTTGGTGGCGAGGGATCAGCACCAGTGAGCATACCGATGGCTTCCCGTCACCAAAGCAGGTGAGCGCTTCGCGTGGGCTGGAGAGACTCACTGAAGAATAAGGAACATTCCAGGACAGTCGTTTGCTGAAAAAAAATTCCCTTTGGATGGAAAGTGTGAGGCAAATGTTTTAAATAATAGCAAGGATAGTCATCCCATGTGTTGTTCGAAGTGGAAGCTAGCATGATATATCTAGAAGCATAAACTCCCTCATTGTGAATGTCGAAAGCCCTGTTAACTTTTCTGCATTCCAGTTCAAATAGTTTGTATTGAGGTTTGATTTCTATCTTGTGTATGTTTTGGTGCAAAAAAAGGGAAGAATCAGTGACTTTACTTTTGAAATTTGCAGGACGAAGGGCATGCTGTTAGTTTGCTGTAAGATTGTATTCTGTATATATGTTTTCATGTAAATAAATGAAAATCTATATCAGAGTTATATTTTAATTTTTATTCTAAATGAAAAAAAAACCCTTTTTACTTGAAAAAATTGTAAGCCACATTGTTAATAAAGTAAAAATAAATTCTGTGATTGTGTTTGTGTCTTCATGTTGAAGGTTATTGAATATTATAGTTAGAGTCTGTGTCACAGTTGTTTTGTTCTGAAGTTTTGGTTTTGCCATGAAATAAACATCTGTTTTTAGGCTGTCAGCAACCGTGACACTCAGAGTCCTATGTGACCTTGCAAAGTCACTTCTTAGCAACTGGTATTTATTCTTTTGTGTTGTTCAGACATTACTGATATCCTCAYATGACAGCCCCTGGCCATCTGGATTTCAGTCATATCGTTTTTCCTATAATTGTCTGGTGCTTTAGTAGAAGTATTGWTTTATTTTTACAAAATCCATAATTAAATAGCTGTGTTTACCTTTATCTTTTCTTCTTCCAAATTAGGTCTTGGCATCCAAGTTGCCCTGAGCCCCATTGCGGGGTTCTATTGTGGTGGAGTGCACTCCTTCCTCTCACCACTAGGGGGACACCACCCAGGGACAGAAGCAAGGAGGGAGGGAGTTGAGGCACCCAGGTGGTGCAGGTACGAGAGCCAAGTCACTTCTCCTTTCTTCAGTCCAGTCAGTCTCCAGTATTTTAATTCACTTTTTCCTTTAACTGCATCTTGAATTTTCTTGTTTGTTTCACTTGTTGTTGGTGGTTTTGTTTTGTTTTTGGTACAAGGGATTGAACCCAAGGTGCTTTACCACTGAGCCACATCCTCAGCTCTTTCTATATTTTATTTAGAGACAGGGTCTCACTGAGTTGCTAAGGCCTCCTTAAGTCGCTGAGGCTGGTTTRATCCTCTTGCCTCAGCCTCCAGAGCTGTGGGGATTATAGACGTGTGCCACCCCACCAGCTCCGTTTAAATATGTTCTTTTACCCTGCTCACAATSAAGTTCTGCATATGGAAGTTTTTATTTTGTTTTAATTATGAAATCATTTTTAAATAGTGAAGAGTTAAGGAAGGCAAACAGGAAAGTATTGTTCATTTTCTCAAATGTACCAGAGCAGATAGATAAAGGATTGTATAGCCCAATGTGGTCCTTGCATTTCTATTTGTACTTGGAGATATTTGAGAACAGAAGTTTAAGCACTGACTATGTAATAAAAGAAAATGCAACCTGCACCCTTCCAGGTCCTAAATTGAATGAATCAAAACAAAACAAACTACTTTTCCATGTTGCAAGCAAAAACCTACTTTTAAATTCTGCCATCTGGCCTGGCTTTTTACAACCTTCAGTTCACTAGGGTTACTTCCCCTTTACCCTAGGGTTTGTGATGTGGCTATTTTAAGTTTTAGGAATATAATCCTTGCTGGAGGTTCAGAGACAACATTGAGAAAATATTATTTAGGTGGACATGATCCTGGGTGAGTCCACGTGAGACCAGGCTGTTTATCAGTGAGATGAAATTCTACATCAAAATAATAGATGAGCCAAKAAGGTTTATTAGGGAATAATTTCACCGAGAGGTTTTTGTGACATCAGCCCAAGCACATCCCATATAACCTATCTCATCTGTTGCATCAGAGTATATGGCTCAGTGTTCTCTCGCTTTTAGAACTAAATGACGATTTGTAGTAATAAACAAAAAGCTTTACTTTGTTATTCTGAAATGAGACCAACACACGATGACCACTGCCACCATGCCTCCCCAGCCAGCCCCAAGTATTTGTTTTGTGACAGTAATGCCGTCTTTTTTTTTTTTTTTTTTGGAAT